CACACACACACACACACACACACACACACACACACACACACACACCCTAGGAGCCTTCCAGGCCAAAACCATTTTTGTATTACATTTTTTTGCTGATAAATAAATGAAGGGAGACTAGTATAGATCTATTTCAAGCTATTTAGCTCTCATCAGCTAGCCATACCCTTACTGGGATTTGAACTTGGGCTATGCTCCCTCCCATATTTGGGCATACCAGGTGCTTTGACAAAGAAACCCTAATCATTCCCTTGGCTCAGCCGATAAGGAAGGAGAGCTTGTGGCCTAGAGGTTAATATAACTGCCTAACATGTAAAATAGCCCAAATTCAAATCCCAGTAAGGCTATGGCACTCCTGGCACACAAAGACAATGATCTGCATTTATGAAGAACAGATTCTCAGGTGCTACTATGATCTTTGGCCTATCTTTCTGAATAAGAACTGCCAGCCTTTGCCAAATACCAAGCCCATAAAACTGAAAATCATTGATGATGACAACCAGCTGACAAATAATTTCAAATATTTGGGAAGCATCACCTCAAACAATGCATTTTTGGACAAAGAAATGACTGCAGTATCAGCAACGCCAGCCAAGCACTGGTATGCTCAATCAATATAACATCTACTGTATATCTCCACCAAGCAGAAAGTCTACAGAGATGTGATTCTCCCTGTTTTCCTATATGGATGTTGAGTCCTGGACTCTGAACCAAAGGCACAACAACTAGAGAAGTTTCACATGTCCTCCCCTGCCCTCAATGTTTCTTGGCAAGACCATATCTGCATCCTGGAGATAATTGGGTCGCAGTGAGTCCACCAGCATTGAGTCTGTGATTATCAGAGCCCAGATGAGGTGGGTGGGGAACGTTATCAGAATGGATGATAACTGTGTGTCTTAACAATTTTTCTATAGTGTATTGTAGTTTGGGAAGGGAGACCTTAAGATGCATCAAAGATGCTGTGAAAGAAACCGCACCATTGTGACACGCAGCCAAGGGAACTAGAAGCTGTGGCTGCTGGCAAATAGCACTTAGGAATAGCACTTAGATTTATATACCGCTTTATGGTGCTTGACAGCCCTCTAAGCAGTTTATAGAGTGAGCATATTGCCCGCAACAATTTGTGTCCTCATTTTACCCACCTCTGAAGGATGGAAGGCTGAGTTAACTTTGAGCCTGGTGAGATTTGAACTGCCAAATTGTAGGCAGCCAGCAGTCAGCAGAAGTGTGCTATGAAATCTCTGTTGGCTTTAAAGGCAGGTACTGCCGAAAACTAATAGAAAACTATGGGCAACGTTACCGAAAAACATTTAATTACTATGAAAATGTACTTCCATTGCCCCCATTATTTTAGACTGGAACTGGAACTGTGTCCATAAATGAGGTGTACACAGGGGTGGGTTTCAACCGGTTCGCGGCGGTCCCTGCGAACCGGTTGGTCGCCGAACCCGGAAGTAAGTAACTTCTGGGAACGGTGAAGGGCGCGCCCGCCCGCCCGCGGTCCTTATCTGGTTTTGACAAGTTCTGCACTTCCACGCATGCGCAGGACGCATACAGCGCCTGCGCGATCGTCCAGGAGCAGCTGGAGCATTGCGCAGACGCTAGTACGCATGCGTGCACGAGGATGCCGCTGGCCCCGTTCCAACCAAACCGGTTGGAACGGGGCGAGAAACCCACCCCTGGGTGTACAACAACATGTCCTCCTTGAACCCAAAAGGACTGTCATAAATTGCTAAATAATTTCAATAAGAAATGGTAACTATCCTGAGAAAGAAGCATTTTGACAAGTGTACAATTATGACTCCAACAATATTCTTTAGAAAGTATATTTAAATGCTCAAAAAACAAAACTTGCTGAAATGGGTTATTATATGACATCAATTAGAATCTAAATATGTGCAATATGACATCTTAAAATAGGCGTGTGATGTTTTAGAAATAGATGTGAAGAACTCTTTTGCTTCAGTCACACAATTTATAAAGGGTCAGACTACAGTTGCAGATACATTTCAAAATTGTCCTTTATTAGTTCTTATGAGCGCTATGCTGGTAGTTCCAGTATTTGGCTATTCTGAAAGAGGATATGTTGTTGGTTAAAATAAAATTATTCAGCATACTTTTAATACTTTTAATGAATAAAATTAAACTGTTTGGAGCCCTGTTTAGTAATAATGGATGGATTTAAATAGATGGAGAAAATCTATGTGGTCACTAGGAGTTAAAAACAACTTGATGGCACATAATATACATACACGCAGTACAACATACATACCGGTACATACATATAATGTATGTATGTATAAGGCCTGTCAAGTACTCTCTTATTCCTGGTTTCATCTTCAGCTGTAAAATTAGTATCCAAATTTAGCTGGACAAATAGACTCCAAAATGAACTGAAGGTACCATTTCTGCAGATGTCATTCTAAACCACCTACCAGCTGCAGAAACTACTCAATGTGGTCATGATACAGATAAAGTACATGGTTGCACCCAGCTGTTAAACACTGTATAATTTCAGCCCAAAACAGCAGTCAGCAACTGATGTGGTTAGAGGAGCAGACACAAGGTCCATTTGGTAAACTGTCATGTGCTTGCAATGATGTCTCCGCCGTAACTCATTGAAATTAAAGGCTGTCCTTTCCACTTTAGGTTGAGCAGTGCTGACATCTGAGTCACTTTCACTAGATGCGTACAGATTAATTATCTCTGATGTCAGTCACAATTTAGTGATGGGGAGCTTTGCGAGGCATTATGTGCTATTTTTGTGCAAAATACAGCTCTCTTATTAGACAGAACTTTATTTTATTGACACAAGCCCTTTGATGGAATACTATAGAAGCTAAAACAGAGGAGTATGTGAAATTGCACCCCATATGTCTTTCAGTGGCAACCATTTATTATTTATTTATTTATTAGACTTATATACCGCTTCATAGGGCTTGCAGCCCTCTCTAAGCGGTTTTA